GCATGTACCTCGGTTGCAGTTTGTCCCCAACCCTGGCCGGTTGTGCGGGTGGCAGCCACTCGATGTGTTCCTTTCACGTCGATGTTTCTCTCTCTCTCTCTTCCTCTCTCTCCCTCCCACTCTACCTGAACAAAAAATGGAAAAATGTCCTCGGGTGAGGATAAAAAAAAATAATAATAATAAAATAAAATTAAATTAATTCATATACTGGGACCCACAAAATGGAAGCGGCATCAAAAGGATTAAATTATTTCATTAAAAAGTGAAATGATCGCCTTGGCCAGTTTGGCTCAGCGATTAGAGCATCAGCCCATGGATCAGAGTCGCGGGTTTGATTCCGGTCAAAGACACGCACCTTGCTTGTGGTACCTCGGTTGCAGTTCCTCCCTGGCCCTGGTCGGGGTCGTGGGGTAGGCAACAATCCATGTGTCTCTCTCACGTTGATGTTTCTCTCTCTCTCTCCCTGCCCTTCCACTCTATCTGAAGATAATGGAAAAATATTCTCGGATGAGGATTAAAAAAAAAGTGAAATGATTAAACAAGTAAAAAAAAAAATAAGGCAGATAAAGGATTTGATCTCAGATAGGAAAGGACTTGTAAAGCAAAAAATATTAGAAGGGAACATAAAACGGAAAAGATCAATAGTTATATCTAGGATCAGTATCTACATTATATATGAATTGCCTCTCATGACTACCCCAGTAAGAAAATGAACAATGAACCGACACCAGGATTCCATATTTGCCCTGAGAAAACACACCACAATGACTTTGAGGAAGAAGTGAAGACAGGGAGCGTATAAAATAGGACCACTTTAATCAAGCTGCTAAAATCATGAATATGATGAAAGTTGAGGCATAAGGAAAGACCATTCTGTTCTAATGCACCTAGAAACTTAACCTTTTTTGAAAGTTCCAGTCCTGTGTCAATGTCTAGATATACACCTGGACCTTCCAGTAACCCTCTAAATTACCCCCCAAAGGGCTTACCTTTCCAGGCCACCTGCTCCTCCTGAAGGACTCACATGTATACCCACTGACATCTATCACGCAGACCATGGGGACTGACCAGACATCCATCACCCTGTCTGCCTGCCATCTGACTGATCACCATCCTGGACCAACCCTAGAGCTAAGGATGCAGGGCTGATGATTCTCAACAAAGTACTTTTTGCTGTAAGAACTTTTCACTTCTCTTTCTTTTTGGGGACGCCTCTGGGTTTTTGCCTATCTGTGTTTCCAGGTTGCAAACTCCAAGACCCTTGAATAAATCTCTATCATTTATTTCTAGCCAAGCCTCTAGATGATTTTTGAGTTTGTTCGACAACCTCAGCACAGTGAAGGACAATCATATAGTGTCTCAGAGTGCTATGGGAATTTGATAATAACAATAGAACAATGTAATTCTAAGTGTTTTATTTGTAGTAACTTGCTTACTTGTTATTACTGCCACATCCTATGGTAGCATTATACCAGTTTTCCAGGCAAGGCATAATTGGGTTAAGGAATTTGGCCAAACCTCACAGCTCGTAGGAGCCAGAAGGGCTGACTCATCCAATTGTCACAGTAGGCATGGGGCCTTGGACTCATCATGCTTTTGTGTGTCATATGCTGTTGTGTTGTCTCTGGCTCCTGGCAATCCTATGAATCAGTGACGTCCACAGTGTTCTGTCCTCAGCAGTCCTGCTCAGCTCCTGTAGACTCATGCCTATAGTTTCTTTGATGGAGTCGATCCATTTCATATTTGGACTTTCTCTTTTCCTGCTGCCTTCTTTTTCCCCAGCATTGTTGTCTTTCCCAGAGAAGCCTGTCTTCTCAAGATGTGCTCAAACTGGACAGTTTCACTCTTGACATGTTTTTCCTCCAGTGATATTTCAGGCTTGATTTGCTCCCGGTTGTTCATCTTATTGGTGGTTCAGGGTATCTCCATGGAGCTCTAACACCATATAAAATAATTTCATTCTGTGCCTTTCAGCTTTCTTCACTGTTCATTTTTTGCATCCATACCTCGTAGCTGGGAATATGAAGAGGAGGATGATCTTAGCTTGGTCTCTGATGACATGTCTGTGCTCTTGGAGATCTCTCCTAATTCTCCCACTGCCGTCCTTCCAAGTCCCAGCCTTCTCTTGATTTCTTGGCTGCAGTTTCTATTTGAATTGCTAACTGAGCCAAGGTCAGCAAAATCTTTAATAATTTGATGTCTTCATTGTTTATGTAAAAATTGTGTATTTCTTCTGTAGTCATGATTTCTGGTCTCCTTGATCATCAAATGCAGTTCTGCTTTGATACTTCCTTTTTCCACTTTCATAAGGACTTGTTTCAAATCCCTGCTACCGCACCTCTAGGGGCCCATACACATGTTTTTATTTCTTTTAAAATGAGAAGGAAAACAAGTTAATGTTTAGGCTGAAGAAAATGTTTTAATTTATAATACCAATATATTCAGCTTTGTATCAATGCAGTCAAATATAATTTTTAATATTACTTTATAGAGGAAGAGGCCCACAAAGGTAATAGCACCGCGGGCCCTGGCAGTCTGGATGTGGTCCTGTGTGGCGGAGTTGTGTTTTGATCCTAGGCAATGGGACATCTAAGCCTAGGTTCTTTCTGGAAGACAACTGTCCAATAAAATTGTTCACACCTTTGACTACTCTTTACGGATTTAAACTATGACAGTAAGAAGACAGACAATGATCTGTGAAAAGATATTTATAATAGTGTTCTTTTGAAACTAAAGGAGTAATATAAAAGGCTGGTTCAGTTTTGGTTTTCAAATAAGGGCAGAGGAGAATACTAGGAGTTTCTGAATGGAATTGAACGGGGAGGAAACTGAGGACTCAGGAGAGCAGACAGCAGGGTGAGCAGAGCAGGGAGTGGAAGGAAACCTGTTTGTATCCAGGAGACGGACTGCAGACATCTGCTGGTCATGTGCATGCAGTGTCTGGGAGGGTACTCGTATGCATGTTCTTGAACTTATCTTTAAAGGGACTGGACAAGTGAGGAAAAGGTGAAGGAAAGGTTAGAAGAAACAGTGCTTGGTAAAGCAGAGATATGAGCACAATCCGGGGCACGGAAGCATCTTCATAATGGGGTGACTGGACATTCAAACATAGAAGTCTGAACATCATGTTAATCTTGGTCTTGAAAGCTCTGAAGGCCAATGAGAGATTTTAAGCAGTGGAGTGGCATGTTCAGATGCCTATTTTAGAATAATCACTGTGGGTATAGTGTGCCTGGCATCCAGGGATGATGTCAGAGGACTCAATGGAGAAGAAGAGAATATACATTCGTTCCATTACGATGTTTATTGGATCCTGCAAAAATTCACAGTGTCAGTGCCATTCTTGGTACAGGATCCTTTCACAAGTTTAGGTATGATGGAAGAAGAGAAAGTACTAGAAAGAGGTTTTAAAGTCAAGGAAATATTTAAGACAGAAAAGACTTAAATAACCACTGTGTTGAGGAGTCACAGCCAATAGGAAATTTGGGGTTAAAGATATGCCAAGGAGGGTGCCGCAGGAGAGAGCAGTGACGAGTGTCCATTTGGGGAGGAGTGGGGCTACCCAGGCTTGAGAGAGAAGGAACTAGTCAGCTTGGATACTGATGTAGGTCATTTATGGGGTTTTGGTGAGGTAGTTAGGCAAAACTGTAGAAATCCAAGCTGATGGCCTTTATTCGGTCTCTAAAGTAGAAGAGTAGGTGTGGACCTCGAAAAGGACTCCTCTTGGTTAATCAGGCTCCAGTTAATAACTAGTCTAGCAGTCATTGCTAACAGAGGCCTCTCAGGAATGCTCCATTGCAGGGAAAAGCAGCAGACCGGGCTGCCAGCCTCCTGTCCTGGGTTCCTGCCATCCTAGCCCACCTTATAAAGAAGCTCCTGTTATTGTATTCCCCTCCAAGTGGAGTGGCACAACTACATCCTCATTTGCCTCTTTAGGGACCAGAGGGGCTCCATCCCGACCAATAAGAACACATGATTCTGACCAACCAGGACAGTGCTATTTGGACCAATCAAACTGTGCAAGTGTGATTCTTCATTTGCATAGAAATGGACTAATCAGGGACCAGGGGAGAAAGTTCCTCTATATAAGGGGGGGGGGGTCCTCTGGTCTGGCGGAGCACACCATTGGTTTCCTCCAGAGGCTTGTCTCCCTTACTTGGCAAACTGTTCACCTGCGTAAAGTCTCTCCTTGCTCCGCACCCCAGACTGCGGACTCCTGTTGGCACGTCCTGGGTGGCAGTGACCTTTTGTTGACAAGGTCATCTGGTGAGTAATGTGGTCTCCATGGACTTCATTTGCAGGGTGGCCTTCCTTCTGAAAGCACTATGGCACCGACAGCACCTGTGCTGTGTACGTTTGAAATGACAGGCCCTTCCTCAGGAACAGACCCGTGCACTTGCTCAGTGTTTTGTCTTGCACTTATGGGGGGGCAGGGGCGCCGTCCGCAGTCTGCAGTACGTTCTCAAGCGCCAGCCAGATCAAGAGGTGTTTGTTTGAGCCTACCTTTGCCATAAAGCACTCCAGAGGAACGCCAGGCCTGAGGTCCTCCCTGGGGGTGACGCACCGTCCCGCCCCAGTCGGAAAGTCACGTCAGCAGCACGCACCTCAGGCCCGCGGAGCCTCGCCCCAGTCTCCGCCCTTCCGCGGCTCTGGCCCCGCCCACCACGACCAGGTCCCCGCCCACCAGGCTCCAGGGCTCCGCCCCTGCATGGCCCCGGGCTCCGCCCCCCTCTGCCATTGGCTGGCCCTCCACGTCCCCCGAGCGCCGCGAAGACCCGGAGGAGCGGACTTTCCCATCGGCGTCGCCGGCGCCCTGGCCGCGCATGCTCGGGAGAACGAGTCCGGTCGCGCTCGGCGGGCGGGCGGGGCGGGGCGGCGCACTCCCGGGGAGGGGGTGCGGCCGGCGGGGCGGCCGGCGGGGCGGGCGGGGGGCGGAACCGGCGGAGCGGCGTTTCCGAGCGGCTGCGGGCGGCCTGGCTGCGGGACCGCGCCTGCGGCGAGATGGCGGTCCTGGACGCCGAGGGCTGACGCGCCGCTGCGAGGCCGGGACCGGTGAGGACGGCGGGGCGCGGGCGGGGCGCGGGCGGGGGCGCGGGCGGGACCCCGGGGTCGCGCGCTCGGCCCGGGCGGACCTCTGCGGGGCGGGGGCGCGGGGCCGCTCGGGGCCCGGGCCCAGGCCGAGCCGAATGTCCCGGGGACTCCGCAGCGCGGCCGCCCGGCTGCTCACCTTGTCCTCGGCCACCCCGAGACACTGGGTGCACTTCCTGCCCGCGCCCGGCGCCCCGCAGCGCGTCCCCAGACTCTGCAGCCCAGGCACCCCACCTCCGCCCGTGACCCGCCAGGTCCCCGTGACCTTGCAGCTTTCGCTAGTCCTCCTCGTGGACTCGGACCTCCCTCCGTCCTTCACGAGACGTTCATCCTTCAGGAGTCGGCCCATCGCTTTGCCACCTCAGAGGGATCCGCCTGTGCCTGGCCCGGTGGCCCGTCCTCACCCTGGGGGCTGGGAGTTGACCTGCCTTCGCTCCACTGTTTCCTTGACGTCTGTCCTCTTCCAGGGGCTTGACGTGGCTTGCTTTCTCTGTTGGATAAGTTTTGTATTTTTTCGTGCAGCCTGATGTGCAAAAACATTTGAGTTTGTGCTTTAAAATGCTGTTGGTGATAGTGGTGGAAGAGAAGGAGGTTTGAAGTTACCCCTCCCGGGCTGGTGTTTCTACCCGAAGCCCCCAGTGAGCAGCTTGTGTGCAGGTTTTCCAAGGAGTTGACACTTCCGTGCAGATCCAGCTTGTCTGTCGCACTGTCTCTGTGTGTTACACAAGCAAAATGCACCTTTAAAAAAAGAAAGGCATCCTGTAATGTGTGTGACTTGTTTTTAGCCATAAAGTACTAAATTAGTTATCACTGGAAATGATCACTTTTCATAAATAGTTGATGGTTTTTCAAATTGAAAACGTAGTGTCCAAGCGTCGGTAACTTCAGACTCAGAAGTGTGGAGTATGTGGAATTGTTCTTTGAGATGTAGCTTACTGACATTGCACATAGTTCTTCCTTGGCTTTGAAAAGCAGCAAGAAAGGGCTCTGTTCTGGAAGCCTGACATGATAGAGGATGCCACAGATGAAGTCTCTGCCTTCGAAGAGAGAGTGATCTTTGCTCTTCACACCCTGTAAGTCTGACATTTATTTTACTGCTTTGCACAGTTATTAAGCACCTAAGGCATGACTGTGCAGGGTATTTGGGTCAAGATGAGGATGGTGACGGTTTCTGCCTTCATGGACTAGATAGGTGGATAGGACTGTACACATGTGTCTCATTTGTCCTTTAACAGACAGTTAAGGGACCTGCAGAATTCAGATTCACAGGGGGTTAGAGCTCCCATCTCATTTGGGAAGGTGGAGTTTCCTGACTTTTGGAATCTGTTTTGAGGATGACTAAGATGCTTGACAGGCTGGGAAAGGTCATCTAAGCAGAAAGAGGGGGCTAGGATCACAGAGTTCACACATTTGGGGAGACACACATAATTGTTTGGATGGAACATCAAGTATTTGTGCCAATAGCGAGGGTGATGAAGCTTGAAGTAAAAATGGACTAGTTTGTGATTGCTTTTAATGCAGGCTAATGATGTGGGGTTTGGTAGTGGTAGGGCTGTCACAGATTACTCTGACCTGGGAACGTAACAATTGAAAGTGTTTTCAGAGGGTGAATGTGGCAGCTGTGCAGTGTGGATTGAAGTAGAGAGAACTTGGAGGCAGAAAGACCTCCTGATTGCTGTGGTCACAGGTAGTGAGGGGCTGGCCGTAATTACGGGAAAGGAGGAAGGAAGTAGATAAGACAGAATTGATGATGAGAGAGTAAATGAAGAGAGTAAAATTAACTGAGGTTCTGATCCAGGTTATGTGGGAGAGTAGTGGTACCATTTTGAGCGTGTCCATGAAGATTTATCTTGGGCATGTGTTACTTTGCAGCAGAAGTTCTCAGTCCTTTGAGGATTAGTAATCCTTGCTGAAACTAAAGAAAGCTGGCCTAGAAATTTTCCATATGCACCTGTGTTTTCTGGTTATAATTTTAGAGAGTCCATGGACCACCTGCAGCTTACCCATGGAATCCAGGAGCCAGTGTGTTGGCCTGGAAGCAGCTCTCAGAATTACTGGAGGCTTTTAAAACAGTAGAACCTTTGAATTCTTCCATTTACTGCTAAGAATGCCTACTGGAGAGATACACTGTGTACATGCCCAAGGACACTTGTGTTGTGGTTTATGGTGAATTTTGACTAACTTATGTTGTTTGCTACCATATTACAGAACAGACTAGCCCCAAGTATTTCATTTAGCAGTGGGTAAATGGGATCAGGAGTTGATTTCTTTCTGAAGATGTTTACAACTGATTTACCATCATTGGGTATAGTTACTGCCTTTAAGTGTCCTGGTCAGTGCAGGCTAGATGATCCTGGAGGTTCCTTCCATTTGTTAGCAGTGTGTGATTCTGGCTCTCAGGTTCTCATTGGACTGGGTGGACCCTACTCGTTTCCACGTGCCAGGGCGCTGTGAGGCTGAGGGATGACCTGGGTGTATGGAGAGAAGGTAGCGGTATCAGGACAGCTTTACTTACTTATTTCCTTTGTATCTCAGTCTGGATTCAGGGTTTGGGGTGGAGAGGGGAGTAAGTGAAATGGGAAACTTGAAGAAGAACTTTTTTCTCCTCTGTTCAGGTGTGCCGTCCCTAACTCCTCCATTCAGGAAGCCTTTACCCAGTAAACATGGAAACCTCACAAAATAAGTGAAGTGCTGGGACCTAGTCAGTGAATTTTCTCATTGAATCAAGTAGCCAACTCTCCTTAGTACGGTTACAGCATGATTTGATTAGTGAACAGTTGACTTTTCTGCATCTATAGGATTATCTTCCTGGTAGAACCACAGAAAGTTATTAGTATCTTTTATAGCTCTAGAAACTTTGAATCCATAATTACTAGAAAGACTGGGGTCTTTTGTACTCTTTCTATAAATAATGTAATTACACCAGGCAGTGGGAAGACCAGTGAACTGGCGTTGGTAGTGGTCTACATGCCGCAGTAACTGGCGACTAAAACTTAGAGGAGAACAGGTCTGACAGCAGGACTGCGCGGCAGGCTTCTCTCCTCTGCCGCTTTGTGAAGAGGGTGGCAGCCCAGCCGGTGTGGCTCCAAGGTTAGAGCGTCGGCCTTGGACTGTGCTGATTCCCTGTCAAGGGCACGTGCCTGGGTTGCAGGTTCGATCCCTGGCCCTGGTTGCGGTCCTGCAGGAGGCAACCAATTGATGCGTCTCTCTCATATCCATGTTTCTTCCTCCCTCCTTTCCACTCTATGTAAAAATCAATGGAAAAATATCCTTGAGTGAGTATTAACAAAAATAAATTTTAAAAGAGTATGATATTGGTATAGCATTTTACAGTTTTTTATAATGCGGTATATACTTTATCATCTGGTTCTCCTGACCACTGAGCCGTAGGTGTGTCAGGTGACAGACAGCCACTGCTTTCTAGCTGAAGGCACTGAGGCTCGGATGAGTTAGAAAGGCTGCGTGCCTGTCAGTGGCTAAAATGGAACTGCAGCTGTAGCTCAGCTTTGTGTTCCTGGGTCAGTCTTCTCTTCCTACTGACTCCTGGTACACATGCGACTGAGGACTTCGGGTAGGGGTCTGAAGTTACCTGTCTGGAGTCTCCTTTGTCCTGTGCAGAGCTGAACTTGCCTGTTTCCTCCTCAGTGTTGAAATGGTAGTCTCATTGCAGCGCTTTTGGTAGGTAATTTTGAAATTTATAAGAATTTATCACAAAATATCTTTCTGTCAAGGAAAAAGTATAAGTTGATATTTGAAAAAAATATACTGGTGAAATGTAGGCATTAGTTTCCTTTTGAAAATGTGTAGATTGTGATTCAGTTGCTTTTACAGGTGAAGTTTGTTCTTTTATAAAAGTCTGAAAATCTGTATTAAAAATTTTTTTTTTTCTTTACTGTTTAGAGAGAAAGGAAGGGAGAGGGAGAGAGAGATGGAAACATCAATGAAAGAGAACATCAATTGGCCGCCTCCTGCACGCCCCCCACTGGGGATTGGTCCCACAACCTGGGCATGTGCCCTGACTGGGAATCAAACCGGCAACCTTGTGGTGCATGGGTCGACGCTCAACCACTGAGCATGCTGGCTGGGCAAAAATCTGTATTTTTGGAGCAAATAAATAGGGATCTGATTTCCAAAAGTCGATGTGATATTTCATGTAAAAAGCTTAATGGTTAAAAGATTTACCATTAAAAAACTGTTAGTATATACTTCAAATTCACGTTTAAACAATTTTTGGGGGACTAAATTGTGTAAAACCGTGTGTCTTATAGTTGCTGATTTATAAGGAAGACTGCCATTTGTCTCAGCATTCCTGAAACCTGTCATGCTGCACAGCACATGCTGGCGTGCCACTATGGTCAGGCCCTGCGCGGTGTGGGCCCAGTGCCAAGGTGTCCCAGGAAGCCTGGCCTCCCAGAACTTGGGGTTTAGTAGAGTCACTGTCAAGAAGGGCATCGTGTGACTATTGGGAATTGTAGTACTACTCACATAGCTCAGAGACAGTGTGGGTTTGGTTCCAGACACCACAGTAAAGCGAGTCGTAATCTTTCTTCTGGTGGAAGGTCTTGCCTTCAATTTGTAGAAAACACCACCTGTGAGGCACAGTGACGTGAGGTGTGTCTGTAACTACAGTACTATACTCTGGGTTTTGTGCAAATTATGCAAAAACACAGGGAACCAGGTGAGCATTGTTTTGGCTCTGTATCACTGTGTAACAGACAACACTAAAACTAAGTAACTGACGACAACCTTTTTGTGCTCCGGATTTTGCTATTCCAGGCTGCCAGGCTGGGCTCACGTGAGCCGTGCTGCGTTCTGTGGTCTAATGGCCATGCTCAGCTGGTCTGGTCTCTGTCTTTCCCTTCCTCTTGTACTGTACAGTCTGTTTAATTTTATTTTTATAAGATTTTTCTATTGATTTTTCCATAGAGAGGAAGGAAGAGGGGGAGAGAGAGAAACATTGATAT